GTGAGTAAACCTTACCTTATATCATTCTTCTGGTTTTTTTTTATCATTGATATTTGTTATTAGCTGGCTACAACAATTTTTCTAGACCAACAATGATTTGATGATGAACATGGCTCTATCATAAACTTTTATATAACTAAGTGCAATTGGATGATCTTGCTAAGCCTTCACCAGTTGCTTTTCTACTAGAAGATGAGGTGCTGTAAATATAAATATCAAACTTTTAAGAGTTAGATATGTTTATACATACAAATTGTGTGGTGTGCAGGTAAATAATCAAAGTAGTATTTGGTGAATCCAGTTTAAGTCCCTGTACCCAAAACAGATCCAAATTTAATTAGCATGTCATGCTCACAACAAACGTATGGAACATTTGATGGTATTATGCATTCCCAAGATTAGCAATGAAAGAAGCACATTTTCATACATATCACACAAGTCTTAATGTATTTTCATAACGAACATCTAAACTTTCATATTTACATTAATACCACTCAAAATTTTAAAATTATATATAAAAACAAATCGCTATTATTTACCTTTTAATAGCGAAATACATATTTTCATACATAACTTAATGACTTTGGTTCTGTAAATGCAAATATGAGAACTTAGGCGTTAGAAATGTAAATGCATGAGAATTGTATGGTATGCATGCAAAATTTTCAAAATTCTTTGCTCTAAATCAGCTTTCAGTCTGTCACCTGAAGCACAACGAATGGAATACAAACCTATATTACTCCCTCCTCAACTCTCCAGTAAAGAATAATATATAAAGGTTAATGCATATGGAGGAAAAGAATTAAACCAATATTTTTAAGGAAAAAAAAATTATCTTAATTTATTGTTTTTAAAATTTTTCACATTTTATTATATGATTTATTTAACTAAATAAGGTGAGAATGCGATAGGATGAACAGGATCAGCTTATATAAATTAGGTTAAATTGTTTATTGTGGACTGCATTGGAATATTTGATGGCATCAAGCAAGGTGGAAAACTATTGATCACCATTATTGGCAACAATTTTTGAAGTCACATGTGTGAGACTTGAGCTCATCAAGGTTGTATTTTATGCAAATGTGTTATCCTTAGCTCGAAACATCCATTTAAGACATTCCAGCCCGTGTTGAGGAGCACGCAGCCAGGGTCATTCTGCTAGACTTTGGCTTTTGCTTAGGTGAAGACCGGTCAGCATTTTGTTTGTCGGACGACTCTTATTGGATTGACGAATATTATTCGACGAGTCACTCAAAATTGGCTTGAATTTGGTCTGATCGTCAATTAAGTTGTCCAAATGACCCCGGATGTCGAAACGGACCGCGAGAGCGTATCCAAAAAGATGATTTTACGTGGGAAGGACATCCATATTGACGGGGTTCTGTGCATATGTGAAAATGCGCTAATCGGATATTTTAAATAATGAATGAAATATTATTACTAAAAAAATTTCTTTTTTAATCCCTAAATCCTTAAACTCTATGATCATATTTTTCATGTACTTTGCATACCTCTTTGCCCTCATTGGATTTTTTTGTTGTCCCGTACATGTTCTACGAGGTACATAGGTGCATGGGTCAGACACCAACGACTCGGCTTGCGGGCTTCTCTCCGGCTAGGAGAGCTTCTTCCACTCTTTGGGAAGGACTTGTGGGTTTCTCTCCTACCTTCTAGGAGAGCTTCTTCCCAAACTGTTTGAATGCCTTTGATTTATTAAAGGAAAATCTTCATTGTTGGTAACAATTTTATAGAAATGAAAAAGTGCCAATGTTTCAAAACGAAATTCAGGAGTGTCGCAGAAAAACTAACATACCCGTTTTCTCTTGTTTCCCAGTCGTCAGTTTTGTCTGTTAAATATTGGTAAATTTCATTCATCTGGTTTTTTGTTGGGATGAAATTGGAATAGTGGCAGACATGAACATTCTCTATCATGTATAATTTGTTGATCTGTGCAAAAGTGAAAGCGATCCATCTTCCTCGCACATAAACAACTCCTTGGTTGATTCCATGTAAATTTGCATAGAATTCTCTTACCACAGGATCCACCACGGCGGCAGTAGTCTAGCACAACACTTCCCATCTTTGCCGCACTATCGTTTATTTAATATCCATCGTGGGATTATTCAATCCATGATTTACGAATCCTCGTTCCTTGATCAATCTTTTCTTCGTTAGTAACTTGTTGAAGATTCGCTGCGCTTCCGCACTAAAAAACTTTTGTCGATTGAAAACTCACATTCTGGGATAATAAGGGGAATTGGATGCCATAGGAATGAAATTGGTGGAGTTTCACTTTGTTTTTGGAGGGAAAATATGAACCAGGAATCAAATTTTTTTGTTTAAAAGGACAATTTCTGTCCAAAAACCGCCATTTGAACCTAAGTAACCGCCAATTCGCCGGTCTCACCGTCGGCGGGGGCGAGGGCGCTATCGCGCTATCGGCGAGCCTCTATATTAATTTTGTCTGGACTCTCGAGAAAAACCTGCTGTCGGGGCCCAAGGCAAAATTTTCACAGTTTTGCTCTAGTCCGAATGTGTTCCAATTTTTTCTCTATGGATCCAATTTTTAAGATATTTCAAGGGTAAATAAGAGTAGTAGAGCTTAATACTACCATAAAATAATGATAATTTCAAATAAAAATAGTATAATCGAGATAAAAGTAAAGATAAATATAGGTTGCCTCCCATAAAGTGCTTGGTTTAACGTCGTCAGCCCGACCTATTCAGGTGTCATTCAGGTTGACTGATCATTAAAACCTCTTTAAAATTTGGTCTTTTACCCTCATAATATGGTTTTAATCTGTGTCCATTTACTTTAAATCTATTTCTAAATTTATTTCCAGTTTTTTGATTTTCAATCTCAACAACTCCGTAAGTATAAACTTGAGTCACAGTAAAGGGTCCTAACCAATGAGACTTAAATTTCCCAGGAAATAACTTCAGCCTAGTTTTATAAAGTAAAACTTCTTGTCCTGGTTCAAAGTTCTTTTGGTTAATCTTCCAATCATGTCATAACTTTGGTTTTTTCTTATAAATTCTGTCATTATCATAAGACTCGTTTCTTAATTCTTCCAATTCATTTAGTTGCCTACTCATTGACATCGATCACAAGTTTTTATATATCTATAAACATCTCTAAAGATAGTAGGTCAATAAAATCCAGCCTGTAAAATTTTATAAGCAATTTATCAATCCCAAA